CTATTAGAAATGTGCTATAGTATAAAATCTTAAGATAAAATTTCTAAAACTGATATCTCTTTAAAAAGGTTAAAATTTTGGATATAATTAAGTCTGTTAAAAATTGAAATAAGTGAATTGCAATGGAAAAACCTGCATAAACAAATAAATTCTAGTAAAGCAAATAAATTCGTGATATAAATCAAAAATCGTTAAATAAATTCGTGAAAAAAAGCGCTTTCGACATACAGAGTTCAGACTATATAAACCTTTGAATTATGGCATATTTCTAAGATATACATTCTTAATACTAGTACATATTCTATATGTTTGTAATTGAAATTATGTTATTGTAGTTAATTATTTTATTTTTATATATAACCATGATTTTTTGCGTGACTATTTTAATGTTTTTTCCTTATACAACATTATAGTTTGACTCTGAGTTACAGTTTCAATAAAGTCTTACAAATAATGTCCTGCTTGTTTATTAGATTGTAAACTTTAAAATGTATAACTCTTATACGCCAATAACCCTTTTGAATGAAAGTTATTCAATTGTTTATTTTATGATCGTATATACCTAAAAACAATATATTTTTCTGTTTTCCTCAAAAAATTTTACTTTTAGTTTGTGTTTTATTTTCCATTTTTTGTAGAAAAAATGAAATACATAATACACTGAAAAGAGAAAATAAATTAAATTCTCTGTAATTTTCTATAATGACTAATAAGCTTATATTTTGTCTTTTCCTGTATCAGCGATAACTTAAATTCCTTCGATTACATCTATGATTTATTGTGAAGCAATGACAAGCTACATTTCAGAAAATTTTTAAATTAAATATGTGGTTAAAGGACTTTTTGTAAAAGGATTTTGATGAAAATTAAATGTGAATTATGTGTGTAGGAAATTTTCTGAAATTAAAATTATTTTAATTGGAAATTTATTAAAGAAAGTAATAATTATAATTANTTGCCGATATAGGCGTTAAATCGATATGTCGCGATATATCGATTTATAGCCCAGTCCTAATTATAATTATTAAAAACTAATCATTATTCTCCAAATTACAATTTTATAATTGAAATTTTATTTATGCCGACATCGTCGTAAATATAACACCAGATAAGAAAGAGCTATTTTTTATTCCTTATTTATTTTAGTATTTATCATGAATCTATTCATTAACATTAAAAATTATATTTAATTTGAATTCTGTGTTGCTTAACATGAAAGCATCAAGAAGGAAAAAGTATCTAGCGAATGAATGCAGAAACGTGTACGAGTTGTTATCACACAGAACAAGGAGGTCGTTTAAAAAGTGGTGTGTGGAATGTTTTTATTCTTCTTCTTTCCCCCTTTTTTTAATGCTGAAACTAATGTAAGGAGATTTTCTGTGCTTTTCGAGTTCAAAATCGCAGGAATACTCTTCTAGTGGCCCTCCTATTGTGCCTAACTACGGTGGTCTATTTTGCGAGGTCAACTTTGCGAGGTTGCTCTCTCCTCTACTTTGTTTTTAAGATTAGCGTTTCCCTTTCATACCTAACTTCCCCAATTACAAAAACAGTCCCTCAAAAGATCTCGATCTTTTTTTTTCGACCCCACATGGAAAGGTTAAATGTTGTGCAGAATTAAGAATAAAGGGCTTTTTTATTTTTAATTCTGCTCTAAATAATAATAAAAGACAAAAAACAAAAACAAAAAAACATTTAATAAATTTTTAAGTCAAAAAAAATATTGTTGATGTTAATCGCCTTTTCGAAATAATGCGCCTATGGCAATGCCTTACCCTAGATCAGGGGTCGCCAAACTTTTTTGATCATCGACCCCTATATAATTTTCCGAAATCTCCATCGACCCCCACAAAAGTACTTTTCTGATAATTAAAATAAAACTCTATTAGATACTGTGTTTGTACATTTATTTTATGATTTTAAACATTTATTAAAGTAATAGTACATTGTGTAACAATAGTTTTATGAAAAATATATTAATATTGAAATTTAAATACCTTATTATTAAATAATAAGTAATTATGCATAAGTAGATATAATAAGTAAAGTAACTAAAGATTTACTGCTTCTTGATCAATGAGATGGGTGTGCCTGGTGTTTTTTTGCAAGGTTCGCTATATTGGGTTCAAAATTGGTCAATTTTAATTTTCGTCAAAATTGGTCAATTTTGTAATTTTCGTAAAAAAATACAAAGTGTGCTATAGTTTTGTCGTGGGCTGTACTAATCCATATTATTAATGCTTACCTTCTTTTTTGGACATTGATAATTAAAATTGATATCTAAACCAAACGAATGGTTTTATCGAAACGATAATTATCCGAAACTATAAAAGTTTTAATAATGACACTGCAAGCAAATATTCAACACAGTTTGCAAAGATAGCCGAAACTGCTTTTGTTCAAATGCTCGTCACACGTGATATTTGGAAAAACGCACATATGCATATGACTTATAAACTGCTCTGTGTTCGTGACACTGTGCGGTGGTAAGTAAATACTTGTTTCACCCCAATAAATATACGTTTCGTAATTTATGTTTTATAAAGAAACTGATATTGAGTCAATTATAAAAAAAATTCACAAATTTTACATTCTTAATTAGGTATGTGTAATTTGCGTATTGAGAACTGTTTTTTTTTTTTTTTGACCCACAATCGACCCTTCCGATTCGGATAGACCCCCATTCGCCCCCTGTCCCAGATTGACCCCCGCAATTGTTAAATAGACCCCTGGGGGTCTATATAGACCACTTTGGTGACCTCTGCCCAAGATACACCACTTAAAACAACTGTTCAGCATTCCCTAATAATAGCAAGATTCAATAGTTGATAACTGTTTTAATCTCTAATGAAGAGATAAACCTGTAAAAGAAAGAAAAAAAAAATAGCGCCTTTTTTGTTCTATCAAGTGGACATTTGTGTATGTTTGGTACCCCTTTACTTTATTTATTTCTCTATACAAAATAAGGACAATGATCCAGCTTAATTTTCCCTTGTTGGTGCATTTTTATTGACCAGGAAATCACATGGTCGCATCCAGCTTCCCCCATATTAATTTACATAATATTTGATTGTCATCAGCTTAAAATTAATTAAAATCATAAAGGTATTCGAGAACGCAACGGCCAATAGGGGGCGCTGTTATTTGAGACGAATAACTGCCAGCAGAATAACATGATCATGAGTTGCTAGAGATTTCTTCAGTATAGCATGGTAACGTTCCTTCTTTATTGTGTCCTATTAAATTTAAGAAAAGAAAAATGTTTGATATTCTTCTTTATACAAGCAAACACAAAATGGAATGTTTTTTTTTAAAAGTTATTTATTATTATTATTTTAGAGAATGAACAACCAAAACACACAGGAAAAATATCTGTAAATGAGAAGAAAAAAAAATATATATCTTATTAGAGTTGAAACCTAATACCTGCGAAATCGCTCCATTAAATTGAATGATCTAATATGAAAGGTCTATTCAAACTTCAAATTCCATTCTTTTCTGAATCATATTAATTCATACATTAAAATATGCAAAGAGTATACAGAAACGCATTATGTTACATCATTTTTATTAAAAAATTTAGTTTCAATAAAATTTTTTATTTTATTTTTTGTCTTAAAGTTTTTAATCAGACGTAGAAAATCCTTCTGTAGAAAACTATAATCAGATTAGAAAAAAAATATTTACGAGTAAGTTTTTTATTATAGAAATCATAACACTTACCTGCTTCATAAATCCGGAGAATTCCGAAGTGAAATGTTCTTCGTTTGAAAATTTTATTCTCAAATAATATATAGATAGATTATCCCTTGATTTTTTTAAGATAACATACCACACAATAAAGTTTTATAATTGTAAGATCTCGATATCAATTTCAATACCTTAAAAGCAATGAGCTTATGAAACATAAAAACAAAAGAGCAGAATTCTAGCCGAAATTAAACAATCAAAATTTAAAAAAACTTACCAAGAAAACGATAAAAACGTATAAATAATCAACTAAAATGATAAAATGACAAGTAATTCGGATGATTTTTTATTGTTGCTTTCCGAATTATATTGATACTGAAATATATACTTTTCTACAAAGAGGAATATGCGATAACTATTAGAGTTCTGCATGTTTTGAAATCACATTTCTTCATTGGAATGAAATAAGCAATGTTGACTTCATTTTAATTTGTATTGAATTGAAGACAACAAAAAAATGTAATTTACTGTAATGGATGGGTGGCCTAATGTAAACAATAACAAGCGTCCTTAAACCGGAAGAAATTTAGAAAATTTCCGGTGTATCCCTCCGCTTATGTTATGACTACGAGGCGATGTGTGAACAAGCCGAATATTCTATGCAGTTTTGTTATTGTAATTTGGGTTCAAATCTAAACATAATTGTACCATTCATAAGAGCTTTCAGAAATGTATTGATTCTCAGAGGTCGTAAGGCCAAAAAAAATTTTGGAAAGTTAATATCTCATTGTGAATAATTCTTAAGGTTTGCCATGTTTTGTATTTTATCCCTTATTTGGCTACATTTGAATAAAATGTCGCCAAAAATATCTTTAAAAATATCTTTTTAAGTTAGCCTAATTAGAAAATATTCTAATGATTATAATATTAATATGATAATGCTGAAGTTTAAAGGCTGAAAGAAAGAACTCGGTACATGTGAAATACTGCAAAAGATATGATGCAATAATATGATGGCGCGTTTTTTCAATCTGCGGCGTAAAAATATATCGGAAGCAGTAACCCGGAAGTCTTGAGAGAGCAATTTTACCACTAGCGCCACCACCCTTAGCTTTACACGATCACCCATCCATACGCACGTCAGTCTTTAAACACTCCCACCTAGAGCCTTTCTCCCACCCTCATCTAAGGCAATCGAATGCAGCGTGAATGGCAAGCAAAAAACACACCACAAATTTTTTTTATTATGAAGCTTTAAAGAACGTCTTAAAATGAACAAAAATAAGCATCCGGAATCGTATTCAATTTAAGGAATCATAATTTTAAATTTTCAGTAGAACTCAAGCAAGCTTTTTAGATTTTAGACAAAATTTATTGGCTTATTATTATTCGTCAGTAATTTTCATTTTGTATTTATATTCTGTATCTTTGTTTAGTGTGTTGTTGTAGTTTTTTAAAATTCGTATGCTTTGTCAAAAAATTTTGATTTTGTAAATGCAAAAGCGAATTTTTTAAAACTGATAGTATATTATACTAATCTCTTATAAGTAAGTCATACTTTATCATGTTTTCTCCCTTTTTGACTTTATATTTATAGTACTTACTGACTTGGTATTTTTTTTAAAACTTTTATTTTTCCCAATGTTCATAACTATTTATATGTGTGTTGTCGAATGTTCATGAAAAAGTTTATAAAGAGAGCTTATTTTTGTCTCGTTTTATACCAGGGTTGTGTTTTTTACGCTTTGACGACCGATAAAACCATCGTATACCTGTTTAACAGCCTTAAACTGTAAAAAATAACCTAAAAAGTTATGAAACTATTATACTAGTAAGTGTTTTTATAGTCCCTAAACATTCTTGTAAAATTAAGTTTTCAATTTTCGACTTCTTTAAAAATTCGATTTTTCTAGAAATGATCGATCGATTTCGTTCAAATTTTGTAATAATTTACTGGAAAATTTTGGCATAAATGTATTTTGACAGAAATTTTGTTATTTTTGATACTGAAGTTAAATTGCAGGCAAATTTGTGCACTTCCCAATTCAAAAAATTTTGACTCTTATTAATTAAAATAATACAATATCATAAGCAATTATTAAATATTTTTTATGAGATTATCGTAGGATGTATGAATTTAGTAAATATGTGCAAATATGTCTTAATTAGCTTAAAAAATGTCTCGAAATCCTGCAAAATACACAGAAAGTAAACTTAACATTAAGGTGATTAAATTTTGAACCACTCTTCTAATCGAATTAATGGCATCATTTCCCCCAAAATACTGCCACCCCTTATATTTTTAAGCATTAGAGATCCAAATCTCACGAAAATCCTGTTCTTACAGAGAATAAACTGTTTCTACTGTTAGACTCCTGCCAGCATTTGGAATATTTTCATAAGTAACGAACAAGATCCAAACTCTTCCCTCAACAGAACAGAATCTACGAAAAGAGTCTTTGGGCAGTTTAAAGAAAACCCAAAAATAGACTCGATCTAGCCGTCATGTTAATTTTCCGGATTGATTCGTATCAGCTCCCTGATACTGGCGGGGTGTGTGTAGCGACTCAACTTCATCGTAACCTCAAAGGTTACGATCAAGAACTTGAAGTCTTTCGTTTTCATTCCTCAGAACAATCTTAGCAGTCTCTGTAGTATATGACGTGTTGTGCTGATTTATATTAACTTTCTTTATATTTTAATATTGATGTTTATTAAATAAGATAATATAAATTCCACTGATTAGTTTCCTGAACATCAAACAACCTACGCAAGCCAATAAGATTGAGTCATAGTACATGAAGATCCAATCATTAGGTAAAAAGTTATTTAGAGTGATTCTTTTATTTTTTTGCCCACTGTACATGAACTTTATCTATAAATAATGATTGCAATGTATTATATTCCATAATAAGTTAATCAGTTATTAATTTTTTTCAATCAATCAATTAAAGTTTTATTAAGTTAGTATTAAATAAGTAGTTATCAATGCTTATTTTAGTTATTAGAACAAATTTCCTGTTAAATGTAATAAATGTAATTTTAGCATTTAAATTTTTATTATGTAATGAACATTATACTAGATTGTTCTGCTTATTTATGTATTAAGTAAAGTTTTTTAGTTGTCATTTATTTATGCAAGAAAATCAGCAATTCAAATTCAATAATTTAAAAGAAAAGCATTTTGTAAGTTGCAATTTTACATATTTCTATTTATAATTATATAATACTTTTAATAGATTGTGATTTTCTACACAAATATTTTCAATTTTTTCTAGTAAATGCCGAAACAAACAAAAAAGAGGTTTGTAGTCAAAATGATTAAAGGACATATAAGATTAATCCTTTGTAATTTAAAATGTACTTTTATTTATAATAGCTAGCAATTATTTTCTGTGCCAAAATTTTTTGATTCCAAAAAAGAGTGTTTGATATGATGGTTTAAATCATTGTCAAACCAGATAAAACTGTCAAATGTCGAAAACCTGCCAACCTTGCTTCCAATATAACCTCAGAAATTTCTTACTCTCACTTTGCCCATCATTATAACACATTTTAAACCAGTCTAACTTATATAAATTACATCCTGCTAAAAAACAACTGCGAGATTGGTAACATATCAATTAAAACAAAAGGTGCTAAACAGTTTTTATGATTTACAAATTCTTAATAGAAAAAAATTCCATCTCAAGTACATTAAATAATTAATTTTGTATAATAAATTTTTTTATATAATGTACATTGCATAATAATTTTTTCATAAAATTCAATTTCATGCAATTCTACCATCTTTAAATCCTCTAATCCTCATTTTTTTGTTACTATACCTATTCAAAGAGGAATTTCTTAATTCTGTCTATGTTATGTCTTTTGTCAATAATCCTTATCTTGTTCCTACATGTTTTTGTAAATATGTAGGAATAATAACTTAATAAATAATTAAAATTCAAATTTAAAATAATTTATATGTATTATTAATTTAGTTATTCTATTTAGGTTTCTTGGTAACAATCAAAATTTCTCATTCACATGAATCATCCAAGAAGCATATATAAAAGTGACTTTGGTCCTCATTCCTGGTTTGAAAATAATTTCAGTTCAGATGTAGAAGAATTTTGTTCTCCGGATACCATTGATGATTGCTTAAAATACATTTCACAAGTGAGATAATTTTATTTAATAAATGTTTAAAATTCTGAGTTCTGTTTTATGGTCATCACGAATAAATTTATTTTTTCCTTCTAATATATTTTCAAAATAAAAAGGAATTTGTTTCTGTTGAAATTTATAAGTAACTTAAAAAGATATTTGAAAAGTATAATGAAAATTACTTTTCATGTTTAAATATTTTAAATTAGTAGATATGATTGTTGTTAGAAATGAATTGAAAATATATAATTAATTAATAAAATTCTAGATATCTGTTTGTTTGTTATTTTTAATTTTTTTATTCTTATGTGGTACTAGATAGTCACGCGTATATTGTTCATAGTCACTAATGTGGCGAGAATGTGGGTTCAAACCAATGACCTCTGGAGTATTAAGGTAATTATGGAAAATGATGTGCACTCCAAACTAAGTTGAGTTAAAAAGTTTTATGTAGTAGTCACCACTAGCTAATTAAATGTTTTTGAAGGGATTATTTAGTAATAATAATGGGAAAAATTAATTTCCAGTTTTGTATTCCTTATTTAAATTTTAATTCTATATGTTGACTGGACACTTTTGTAGACAAAGCTTAAATAATAAAGTAAATGTACAGACTAGTCATCATTTTCATCTGATTTTTATGTGTATAAATTCAATTTTCGTGAACTTAAAAAAAAAAAGGACTCTTCCTACAAAAAGCTATGATAGCCAAAGGAGCATGGATTTTCACATGAAAAAACTAGATCATGCAATGTTAATACAGTTACGTAATTCTTTTGCCACTTAACTTGTCCACATATCTCTACTTTTTATTTTAAAATGTCAGCAATCCTATTTATATTATCTTTTTTAACTATATGTATCTATGTATATATTTGTCCTCAGGAATTCAGTGCCTTAGGTTATCCATCCATTTATGCTGATCCTAGTTCTGGTCCACATTTAGTGAATTGTGATATTGTCAAGTTCTTGAATGTTATATTTGAGATTCTTAAAGATTTAAAAGAACATGTGGAAAGTAAAGAAGAACTTAACAGCAGGTATTTCGTTTCTTTTATTTTTTTTTCTCCCTTTTTTCTTCCTATTCTGTTTGTCCTAGTTTTGTTATTTTAGATGGGCTTAGACAGTGGTTTTTATTCAGATTTTTAAACTCAATTAACCCCTTGTCTGCCGAAAATTGCCAAGATGCTAATGGATGTTGATTGATTTAGGAGTTACCCTCATTGACTAATTCCAATGAATAATTTCGCAAACGATTTTAATTTTAGTCTGTGGGACTTCCTTACCGCGGAAATGCCACTTGTATTGATGTCATGAAGTCAATGATCAATGATTAAAATTTATCATCAATAAAAATTATCTCTACTGATATAATTAGGAATAAATCAAATTTACCGTTTATGAATGATAAACTATTTTAAATAAATGAACAATTATGTTTTTGTTTAAGTTTGCATTTAATTTTATATCATAAAAATTAGTTAGCTTTAAAAAATGAGAAGAGGTTTGTTTGTTTGAGATGCTTAGTTTTTTTCTAAAATAACTTTTTTTTTATAATTTTCCTTTCAACTCCAATAATAAATCATTGATAGCATTGTTTTTAGTGCACTCTGAATGCAACATTAAATTGTAGATTTCTTTCAGAGATCGTCAAAAAGAGCTCTCTAAATAAAAACATCACACAATTATTTTAATACGTTTTAATCTATTCACTTGTTTTGTTAATATTTTCTGTTTTATATATATATATATTGAGATATATGGCAATAATAAACATTTGTATTGAGATAAACGAAATATTGAGATAATATGGAAAATAATAAACATTTATGAGTTCTATATACTTGCAGCCCATGCGCAGTTAATGAAACTTATTGATTTTCTTTGTTTTTCTCTCTTTTCTTTTTATCTTTATTGTGCTATCTCTCTCTCTCTCTTTTTGGGAAAAGTTTTGCAAAATGAAAAAAAAACAGTAGTGGGTAGCAACTGTTTTTAACTCATGTAAAATCTTACGAAAGTCCATCAGCTGACGAAAGAAGTTTCTGTACTTTTTTCTGTGCTCTGTTTTCTGTTAACCAAGCGCAAAGAAATTCAAATATTTATTTTTATTTTATTAAATTTTTTTATTTTATTAAATTTTTATGTGTTTAAAAAATAAATAGAATAAAAACTTGACAGAGGTCTCCATTCTTCAGCCAACTTTTCGCTTGTCCCCGCCTAACCAATTTCAATTTTCTTGGTGTATTTATCTTAATTTTTTTTTCTCAAACTTAAGTTTTAATCACTCAACAAAGTCACAAATATTTGATAATTTTTTAGAATTTCTTGAAAGAAATACTCAGTGTCAAAAGCAGGGATGAGATTCTTCCGCGGATTTCCGCTTTTTTTCAAATTTTTCCTTTTTTTCCGCTAATTTCCGCTGAAATTTTTTTGGCACAAGTTAAAATGTTCTATGAGGAATTTAATTTTCCACGGAGGGAAATTATTGAAGTCCCTTTTCCTCCCTCTGAAGTTTCTCTAAAAATCATTTCCTTGGGATAAAACTGGTTGACCTTTGCACAGGGATGAGATTTTTTTTGTCTCTCGAATTTCAGCCTTTTTATCAAAAACTCCGATTCTCTAAAAGTTTCGTTTGAAGTCAAAAATAA